CACATGTTACAGGAATGTTTTTGAGAATGTTTAAAAATATTATTGGGACCTTTTCTTGTATCTCTATCCCTGGCACCTGGTGCCTTAGTTACCAAGAGTCAAGCTGTATAGGGCTCAGAAGAAGAGAAAAATGATAGTGAATAAATGTAAAACACCTGCAAAAATTACCTAGAATAGTGTAATGGCAACAGGTGTATATTGAGTTGCTGAGTATAAGCAGCCAACCAGTCATTAATATCATGGGGTGGGTCAGAGCACTCTCCCAATGGGCAGTGAAATCCTTTGCTTAAACGAGAAAGTTCCCTGGTTTATTGAAAGGTGTGATTTAAAGCCATTTAGGGTTTGTCTACACAGCAGCTGGGAGGAGTAACTCCCACTGCATGTACCTCCCAGCTGCTGTTTAGACAATTCTGCTTTAAACTGGTGCAAAACCCCACATGGACACTCTTGGTGTTTTGTTTTTTTCAGTTTAAACCAGGATTATTTTAGTTTATTTTAAACCAATCAGGAAAAAATTAAAGCTAAACTGCAATGCGGCACTCTCCCATTGAAATAAGGGAGTTCATGCAGGGATTTGCACTGGTTTAACTACATTGGTTTTAAAACTGATTTAAGGTTGTGACACTCCACAGAGGTACTGAGGGCACCTCACCACTACCTGCCCTTAGCACGAGGCAGACTTGTCTGTGCCTGCTGTGGGTCAGCTCCCTGAATCCATCAGCCTCTGGCAACACAAGCACTGCCTTCTAGGTCTCTGCAGGCCTCATGCTCTCTGTGTAGATGGCAATAGGTACACACAAACCCCCAGTCCTTGGAACATTCCCTGCAGTGTCAAGCCTGTGATCCGCTGAATACTCACAGAGTTACCAGTCAGCTGTTCCCAAAAGGAACAGTACACACCAGCTTGTAAGATTCATCTAAGGACCAGCTCTTTGCTAACATCACAGCACTTAGATGTAATTATAGTGAAAACAAGAATAAGTTTACTATCAAAGATTCAAGTAATAGTAAGAATATTGGAAACAGATGGCTACATATAAGCCAAAATCATAACATGCTTTCTAGAGACTAAACTTAACTAACAGGTTAACCTCCTGTCTAAAGAAGTTTCGTCTCCCCAAAGTTCGCTTCAGCATTTTCATCCTAAGCTGTCTGAGACCTCGCTTCCATGGTGCAAGGGTGTGTTCTTTGCCTTCTAGAAACACCTCCAAAGGTCATTGTCTTTACTGATAGACAGGATAACCCCCTGTGGCTTATTTTGTCCTGTGTGCCCCTTTCTTGTTGATGTCACAGTACTTTGTTAACATGTGACTTGGTATGTGAACAGGCCTCCATTGTGTTAACGAACAGAGCTTAATTTACATTCCCATGGAGAGAGAGAGAGAGAGACGCCTCCTACATCCGGTCTGGAGGAACCAGTCTAAGGCATGTCACCTTTTGGTGACCTGCTTTTAACTTTATATGTTTAAGAGCACAACTTTCTGGTAAAGATACACAGCTCCTTACATAATACCCATACATACATTTCACAATGATATTGATGACCAGTGTGTCACCGGCTTTCATTTGAGACCTCACATGGCATTCTTTGGTGGACCAGAATATACATCCCAGAATCAGGAAATTCCTGTAACCCCTCTGCACCCCTTTGTCAGTTGGCATTAATCAGTTCTTGGGTCACAAAGTTAAATCGTTTGCAACTATCTTGTGTAGAAAAGATCTATGTGACCTTTGGCAAGTCACTTGAACCCTTTCCTCTTCACTTACCCCAAGTGCAAAATGAACCTAGGTACATTGGGCTAGATTTGCAAAGGTAAAGAGGCAAAGAGATGCCTTGTAGCATTTTCAAAAGCACCTATGCAGGTTAGGCATCTACGTACCTTTGCAAATCTGGTCCAATGACTTCATCATGGAATATGTCTACAACCTTAAAAAGGAAAGGCTACCACATTTGTCCATAATACACCGCTACCTCGATATAACGCGACCCGATATAACACAAATTCGGATATAACGCGGTAAAGCAGTGCTCTGGGGAGGGGGGGAGCTGCGCACTCCAGCGGATCAAAGCAATTTCAATATAACGTGGTTTCACCTATAACGCGGTAAGATTTTTTGGCTCCCGAGGACAGCATTATATCGAGGTAGAGGTGTATATAAATCACGAGATCACCCAGTCCTTCTCCCAGCCAATGCAGCATTAATCACTTCTATATTTTTTTCTATTCTAACTTTAAACATCCCAAATGGTGATGCTTCCAAACCACTTCCCCTGGGGAGACTATTCCACAGCCTAATACACCTCACTATCAGGACATCTTTCTTCCCATTCAGCCTCAATTTCCCTTTTCTTGGTTTCCTCTCATTTCTCCTAGTTATAGCCCAGTGTACCATGTAACAACAACCAATAGGTGTCATGGCTGGTGGGATTGAACCAGGGCCCTCTAAGGCTAACAGCATGAGACTCTTCCACTTCATTTAAAGGAGTAACTCTGGGTAGCTACTAGATGTAGTAGACTCATGTACTCTGTGGACTACTTAGAGGGGGAGATGTAACACACACTGAACAGTGAGTTAGGCATCACATTGAATAATTCCCTCCTTGGGCTTTATGTCTTTATCATGCTCCTCCACCCCCTTAGCTGTCATTTAGTCAAACTTCACATATTTAGCTTTTTTAATCTTTCTTCATCACCCACCCCATACTACCAGCCCCCACCCCCATTTTTTGTTCCTCTTTGTAAACTCCCTCCATTTTATCAGAATAGATTCATAGAGTTTAAGGCCATTAGATCATCTAGGCTGACCTTCTGTACCTTGCAGGCACTTAAATGTTATCCAGTCACTCCTGTAGAGAGCCCAATAACTTTGGTTCCCATGTACCCTAAAGGTAAAAATGTTCAGATGTGCCTAAGGGACTTAGGAGCCTAAGCCATGTTGATTTTAATGAGACTTCAGATTTTTAAAGTTATTTAAACCCCAATAGGGATTAGGTGTCTAAATACCTTAAAAAAAATCTGGCCCTATGACAATTTTGGGACTTTGACTTCTAAATCACGTAGGCACTTTTGAAAATGTTACCCTATTCCTTTTCTTCTCCAGGATGTGATGTCTTTGGCATGTGCAGCCATAGTGCAAACCTATATCTAATTTGATACCCTCTATCAACCCTTGGTCATTTTCTGTAGCACCACGTCTCAGGTTTCTTACTTCTCTTAATTATACATATTTTGGATTCTTTTCCCCTGGATGCATTTTTCCAAGCTGAATCTCATTTTGTTATTTAACCCTTTGGTCTCTACGTACTGTTCCTCTGTGTCGGCTGGTGTTTGCAATGCTTCCCAGTTCAGTATTGTCTGTGAATTTCATTATCATGCTATATTCCCCCCTTCCAGATCACAAACCCAGACCTAACACTGTACCTGCTGTACCACACAAGGAAGTTCCCCTAAATTACATACATAGACATAGATAGATAGATTATGTTTGAAAGCCTTTCTATTTACTTTCCTTTTTCCAAAAAAGTCCTACTGGGAAGTACAGTGATGTCATAGCAACTGAATATGACTATGAGGGACTCTGCTCTGAGGATATTCCAGTAACCACATATTACATATATTTAAAACGTAAAAGCCTTAATAATTACTTGGGGCTACATTCTGCTCTTAGGCTGGTTTACCATCAGTCAGAATTAGATCAATGTAGTAGTTCAGAAGAAGAGTTCAGTGATGTGACTCCCTGATTTACACTGGTGTAACAGAGCTCAGAATCTGGCTCTTAGTAAAAAAAGGAGGCTTAATCCTAATTTTATTAGCTAGATTATATCTATCTTTTCCTTTCTAGTGTATTCATCACTGTCATATTTTGGCTGAAATCCATGCATTGCCTAGATTCTCTTTTCCATATTATTAGACATAGTCACTCTGCTATAAATTCTGAGAAAGCACAATGTTATAGCATCTGATACGTGTGTATTTGGGCGCATGTGTGTGTATGTTAGTGTTTGTGTGTGTGATTGTGCCGGTATCCCTTATGGCAAGTTTTATAGAAATTAATAAAGAAAAAAAATCAATGGGATTCTACAGAAATTATTTTAAAAATCAATAGAGAAAGACAATAGAGAACAACATCCTTTCTATAGGTTGCTTCTAAAACCACCCTATATAACTCTTTGGCGGGAATATAATTTTCTATTAAATTCCACAGAAATCTATAGAAAAGTTATGTTCCATTATATTCTATAGGACATTTCCATCTGGGGCATGTGTGTAGGTATATGTGCATATCTTCCCATGTGTGTATGTGCATATCTGTTTGTGACTATGAGGGGGAACGGAGAAGATCCACAGACATTCATACATATATTGTTATTCCTCACCTACCACAGCTCCCACCTACAGCATGTCACCTGTGCATGAAATGCCATGGAAATAACCCCACTAGCTTTCTTAACATACAAATCCTCTCTTGGCTGGGCCCCTGTGCTCTCTGCTTTAACTACTCCAGTGAGAATGTGGAAAAAGAGTGGCAGAAAAATGTAAGCCCTCACCCACTTCCCGTTCCCAAGCCCCCACAGACACACCTCACCCCACCCCCTCAACAATCTATAATGTTCCCTTTCCTGCTAGTCTCAGTACAGTGGGAAAGTCGTTGGGTAATTGGGTCCAGATTGGAGATGTTTAAATATTCATGAGGCTGGCAGGGGACTGGGAGGGGGTGGCTGCCTGGATTGTAGTGGGGGGTGGGGTGGGGAGGTGACTAGTCATTGAGAGCTAGTGAACAATTCTGGGAAAGATACAGAGAGAGAGAGAGAGAGAGAGAGAGGGAGGGAGGGAGGGGGAGAGAGAGAGACAGCCAGCTTGTGCATGTGTGATGAGCAATAGCTGTGGACCTTACAGTTGCAGCTAACTGCCCTGGTGTGTGTGTGTGAGAGAGAGAGAGAGAGAGAGGGAGGGAGGGAGTGGAGAGGGTGGGGGGGGAGAGATAAGAGAGAGAGGAGGAAAAAGGAGAGAGGAGAAGGAAGGAAGAAGAAGGAAGGAAGGGGACAATACAATCATGCTGTGCTGTATGAGAAGAACAAAACAGGTAGAGCTGAGAATTTTATACTTCTTTCTGTGGAGAAATTCCCAGGCTATTGGATGTGTGTGTATGTGTATAAGGGGCGGGGGGAGGAATTTTTAACTGCTTCTAAGCAGATGTCTTCTTTGCAATTCTTTAGCATCTTGCAATTGAAGGCTCTTTTCACACCCTTCCTGATGACTGTTTGTCTTTCTAGTGCTGGTGATGTGGGGAGAGCGTGGCCTATCTTCATGTTTGGGGAGAAACAAGGATCCCCCTCCCTTTTTTTTAACTGTGGGCAGATGCATTGCATAGGGTTTTCTGTCTCTGATTCTGAGGGTGTGGATGTGGAAGGGGGAGGAGGGAAATGTGATGAGAAGTGGCTCTACCTCAAAGATGGGGGAAACAATTCTTCAGCTTTTGCCACAAAAATAAATAGATAAAAAGATACTCGGTGAGCCGTGATCCAGGATCAGGATGCGGCTCTCTGCTGCTCTTTGCTCTGAGAGATGAAAGCTGCTTTATGTGCATGTGCTTTGAGATGGCAAGGGAGACAGGTGCATTTAGTGAAAATAGCGTGAAAAAAATAAACTGGTAATTTCTTTCTTTCCTTTTTTTTGGTGTTAATAATATCAAGAACAATTAATTAATAGCAAAAGTAATTGGCCATGAAGTCGGGGGGAAAAAACCCAGCCCTCTTTGCAATCCCTTTCTTAGTACGACCAGTTAGACAACTGTGCACCAGCTGGTAAAGAGACAGAGGACCACGCCTCTATTAGCTCTGAGCTCCGATGGGATGAGAGAGACGAACGGTACGAACCTGTTGGAAACCAGTTCATTCTCTCTAGTGGTACCACATGGCTTTCCTTGATGAGGGTGGCAAGAGGGGTGAGGAGCCAGCTAATTTTCAACAATAAAACATGACAAGCCAAAAATAATGAAATAAAAAAAGCTAGCTAGCTCATTCCCCCACACACCCCTTCCATTTCAAACTGTTCACTTGAAAGCCAAAATCTGCTCTCAGTTACCTCGGTTTAACTCCTTTGACTTCAGTTGGTACTACTCCAGATTTGCACCAATGTAGTCAGGACAGGATTTGGCCCTTGGTGAATTTCAAAGGTATTATGACAACTTTCTCCATAGGGATAATAACAAAGAGGTGGGATTCCTGCTTTAAGTGTAAATCTTGTCTCAGTCTTATAACTACAGAGCTGCAACTGGCACCTCCATTATATATACCTTACAGTGTCTATTACTGCAATACTCTACAGTAATAGCCCAACACACTGCTGGAAGCTGTAGAGATTTGGATAATTACTGTAGAATACTGTATATAATTACAATGAAGGTTAAGGTGCATTTCTGTGCCTCAATATGTGTGCTCCCAAGCCAAGGAGTCATACTGTAGAATAACTGAAAGGGGCAGGTGAATGGGATAGAAAGAGACCCAGCCTTATATATTTTTCCCTATGCAGGTTTCAGATGCTCTGCAATTAATGATACAGTCACTAAAACCTGGAGAAGGGTGGGAGGGGGAACACGTTGCAACCAGCCAGCAGAGCACGTTTAGTCGGCCAATGTGGGATGAAAAGAGAGGAGGAGGAGGAAGGCAGACGGAGAAGCAGAATGACAGGGCAGTGGGTGGAGAGGCACAGCACATTTTAAAATAAAATAGCAGTCTCTGGGGTTTTTTTGGAGGCAATAAGCTGGGAAGAGCCACAAGGGGTATTTTTCGCCATACTTTAATAGGCTGGGCTTTAGCACACATGGTTAATACTCAGTTTTACCCATTCTTTAAATCTATATATGTTATTCCTGTCTGTCTTTTTTATTATTATTATTATTACAAAATATTTATAAACTTATGACACACAGATTACTAGATCAGGCATATACACACACCCCTAAATTCAGTCACCCACCCAGACACACCCCTTCATCCCCCTCGTACATTCACACACACACACATCCAGCCCTAATACAACCACACACATCCAGACACACCCATTCATACTCCTACGCCCATACATGCATTCATACATATTCACACACACAAAATTGCTACATTGACGATGTAAAACTTTGGAAAGCAGAGCTGATGATAACCCAAAAGAAGCTTTAATTTGGAGGGGGAAAAAAGACATAGGTTTTCAGCCTGCTTTCCTCTCTCCCTGCCCCAACCTTTTGCAAATGGAAAGAAATCAGATCAGGTTCTTCATAAGGAAACAGGAGCTTCCTTCCAAAATAAAGACAGCTTTCCTCTTTCAGGGCATTTTTCTGGGGAAGCTCGCATCATCCTGCCTTTCTGATTGAAAAAGAGCAAAGTGCTGAAATTACAACTACGGATTCAGAGAAATCTCTTTACATTCATATCTATATAATTACAGGGGTGGGTGTGTATATACACACACCTCTAGAGAAAGTGTGTGCACATATACATATATATTTGTGGGTGGAGATGATAGTGGAAAAGAACTAAGTAGGTGACTGACTGCACCTGCAAATGAGAGACCTAGATGTCTAAATTCTATCATCTGTACCAACTGATTGCACCTGCAAATTTATACCCATAAAATCTGGAGCTAAATAGATGCAAAATGAGAGACTGGGTTGAAGAACCTTTGATATTTGCCCTAAAGTTTATTTAATACTAACTATTTGGAAATATACTGTGCTATCTACTGTATCTCTTGATAGCATAACATGCATAGATAGATAGATAAGCATTCCGTATACCTACACTAGAATGGATGGACATTATCGGGGCAAGTGCTCAGTGCTAGATTGCATGAATGATTAAATGATAACTCACAAGCCGGTTTCCCACTTGTGGGTGAAATGATTTTCATTCATTGCCAGCCGTGTTTTATGGCTTTCCCTTCAGTACTGTCCTCTGTTCATCACACTTGTGCCTGTGAGAGACTGCAAAGGTTTGAACCCTGCCACACCCATGAAATGAAAGGCAGGAGGAGGAGGAGGAGGAGGCAGAGAGAGTCTGCATTTCTTTCCTCTTCCACATGAGCAGCATGAATAAACAGGGTTGTATCTATAAAGATGCAGTTTAATGCAATTGGAGAGGAAGCAAGCGTTAGGGGACTGTTCCAGCAATTACAGCCAACCAGCTCGGTGTCTTCTCACACTGGGAGCCACAGAGGTGAAGAGGGAGAGGGAAAAAGACACAGAGAGAGAGAAGGAGAGGGAGGAATGAACATCAACCTGAGATTTTATTGCTTCAGGATATTAAAATGTCTCAGACCTCATTTAGAATAACTTAATTATGCCGCATGATGCAGATGCTGCAAAACTTGCAAGGCGCGTTCGTACCTTTAAATGCTAGCACAGAAAGAGAAGTCTTTTTCCTTCTTAAAAAAGCTTCTGAGCCAGGCTGCCAGTGGATGTCAATCGTTGTAGAGCCACTGACTTCAAAGGAGAGATGCTGATTTATACCAGCTGAGGATCTGGCTCTTGTTTCTTTTGGTAACTGATTTCTGCGTGTGAGGTTCATTGCTTAAAGTTCTTATGGCTCCTATTTTCCTTCCTCGGATAGTGTCTGTGGGGATTTCTTCTGAAATGACAGTCTCCACAGTAATACCCATCCCACCCTTCCCCACCTCATCCTCTGCTGCCTTCAGTGAGCTCCCTACTGTAAGCGAAATTGATTTCTCCTAAATCACATAACGTAACCACTCTGGATGGCACATGTGAGCTCCCTTGGGGAATTAATTGCAGGCAGTGCTTCCAGAGGGGAAAATACAACCATAATGCTTAGTGGGAGAGACACCAGTCTAAGTTTCCTGTCACCACTCACAGGTGCATAGAGGCCATAACAGAGGAATGAGCATCCAGTCATCCCCCATATTCACAGAGGTCTATAGGAGCCATGTCACCTCCTTGTCTGAGGTTGAAAGGGTGTGTTCAGCCTGAGGACTCCTGCTCTCTCATACTGAGAGGGGGTATATCACTGAGGGCTCTTTCTGCCTCATGCTGAAAGGGTTGAAATCATTTGTGAGCTCCTTCAGCCTCAGAACCCGATGGCGGTGCCTGTCCTATAATGAGAAGATGTGAATAACCTGAGGGCAATATCTGCATCACCCTGACAGGGTGTAGTGTGTGTAGGTTACACCCGCATGGCTGCCTCTGTCTCACACTGAGCGCACGTGTGCAACTGGAGTCCTTTCTGAGTGAGGGTCTGCGGAACATGATGTGTAAAACATGGTGGTTTTGGCTGAGCTGTGCTCAGAAGAGGACCCAAGGAGGCAGGTTAAATATGGTTTTATACCATCTTATTAGAGTAACCTCAGGGCTGCTCTAATTGCACAGCTGTCCATGGATCCACGGGGCCATTCCAGGACCTGGAAATAGTCAAACTATGGAGGCATTTCAACCATGCTATCTTTCCCCCAGCCATGCCATTACATCACCCTGAGATACCCCATGCAGAGGGGTTTCCCAGCCGGCCACAGCTGCAACCTGTAGGCTCCGACTGTCCCATATTGCAAGGGTGTGTATAACTTGTAGGCTCTGCCGGCCCTATATTGTGAGGTTGTTTGTAACCTGAGGGCTCTGCCAGCCCCACGCTGACTGATTCTTTCATTACCTAAGGGCGGAGTGCATTTCAGGCTAAGAGACCATGTAGACACAGTTGCCAACTTTCACGTGGTAAATAAGCACCCCGACTTTCACAGTAAGCTAAAAATCAAGCTAATCACATTTCAAAACAAGGCCAAAACAAGCCAATCCCTAAGAACCCCAACACTCTATGTGACTAGATTCCCCCGGCGTGCTGTCAGGGACTGTGGTGGGCCTGCTATGCACCCCTGACTCTCCCCCCCCCTTGCCCCTGCTTGCCCCCCCCCTTGCCCCTGATTACCGGGAGCCGATCAAAAAAAAGAAGCAACGAGTTACAAGCCAAAAACTAGCCAACAAGCAACTCACAGGCCAGTTAAGCCAAAACCAAGCCCAATTTCTGCATTTTTTTCGTGGTTTGGCATGTCTGCATTCAGAGCCTGAGGACTTTGCCTTTCCCA